TACTCTAACACAATAATGTGGTTTGACCATTCTAGGTCGGTATGTGTTTAATTAGTGTGGGTGGAATTATGTAACGAGTGTATTTCTTTTATGATCCGGCCTTGAGCTGTACTTGATTCTTGTAGAGACATTTGTAATGTTCTATGTCAACATAAGTTATATCTGTATCTATACTTCCTGCTTAGTACTTATTTATATACTTAATTGAATATTCTAAATAGTATAATAAAATAACAAAAATAATTCATTAAACACCATTAAATACAAATATACCATAAATATTAATGTTAGTTGGAAGTATATAGTATTAACAAAACTTTTATAAAACTAGCTTAAATTGTGATGCTAGTAGATGCTTGTAGTAACTAAAAAGAATATTACATAATTATAACATAAATAATTAATTTTATAATTTTAATTAATTACTTAAATTAAAATATGCCCAATTATAAATGTTCTCATCATATTCGGTTACGGTTTGTTATTCTTGACATTTTGTTTATTTCATATTTTCCACGTAATTCAAGGTAAAGTCGATTTACTTCTAATTTCTTACATTGCGAGTTCTATTTCGAATATTTTCATATTATTTTCTGCACACAGTAAAATTCTGCGGAATCAAGGCACTTAAAAGAAAAATTGCAAATATTTTAATACAAGTTGTTAATTACGATCACGTTTCGTTTATTGCGAAATTCACGAGTGAAAGGTACATCAAATCAATGAAAGGGAATATAAAATATTTCCGGAATTTCGTTTACTATGGTTCCGGTGAAAGTGAATGAAAAAAGGTCATTGTTTAAAGAAAAGGTCCAAAAAAGATTAAATAAAAGTCTTAGAAGGCTATGTGATTAATTTTTCTTCATCTACTTAGTGGCGCCATCGCTTAGCAGCTTTCTGAAACTTTTAGCGCCATCTTGTGGTAGTAACTGGAAAGAGAGAGCTGAAAAGTAAAAAGTAATTCCGACGTTGCTCGATAGAGATCAGTGCAATGTTAAACGACTGGGGCCGGTTAATTATTATCGAATTATACATCAATTAGTAATATTATGTGTTTGTTAGAATATTTGATCGCTTCCAATTTTATTGATAGATTTTGATTTAAATTAGTATAATTCATCAAAATAATACTAACATATATAGGTATGTCTATATTTTGTTTTAATATAATAAATCAAGTTTTTGATTGAACTTAGTTATAAAATTTAACTTAATTAAGTTTTCGTTACAATGTAATTGTTGTTCTCTCTAATAAACGTAATTTCGTATTTAGAAATACCAAACAACCCCAGGTAGATAGGCAGGTACAAGCCCATGACACGACTCGCTTGGCAAACACAATAGCGGGCGAGCCTGCCTCGCGCTGCTGCTCACGCGCCCTGAAACTGTCACAATGCCAACAATTTTCATGTAAAACTTTTCACTATTTAAAATTATTTATTTACGGCATAATAACAACAAAACATATAATAATAAAAATAATTTCTTAAAGATATAAATTTTCATCCAATTATCCACAATATCAACCATATTTTAAAATCATTTCTGACTTTTTTAATTATTAGACATTTCACCGGCACAGATACTGACTATAAAAGAAATATATATGTATAACAAAATAGTGAGTTCATTGCTCAAGGTGAATGTGAATTTTACATCACGTTTTACCACAGAATTTGTAATGCTTTTCTCAACGCAAAAGGTTTAATGTGGTTTTTGTAAGCTACAACGAACTTAGTTATTTACGAGAGCGTTATACTTTACTGAATAAAATAACCAGTAGCGATCAACAAATTAACCTTCATTACATAATGTACCTCATTTACATATCGAGTCAAATTTAATATGCTTGTTCAAGCTTCAAATGATTCCAGATTAAGTACAATTTTATTTAGGCAGTGGTAGCCCAGTGGTATCGCGATCGCTTGGGAAACCGAGTGAAGCGGATTCGAATTCCGGATCTCGCACTTCTAAAATTCTAATGTGCGATTCATTTCCAACATTATCACTACTTGTCTTACAGTGGAGAAAAACATCGTGGAAATCTGCAAGTCTGAGAGAATCTAGCAAGTTTTCGTAAGACATGTGAAGTCTGCCCCGCACTTGGCCAGCGTGGTGGACTACGGCCTGATCCCCGTCGTATTGACGAGAGGCCCGTGCCCAGCTATGGGACGTTAAAAAGGGCTGAATACAATTCAAGTACAATTTACTCACTACCTACTACTTTCTGAACAACAAGAAAATATAATAATTATATTGTAATCTTAAGGTTTTTTTTTAATGCAATAGTCATAAACATGTTACTTTTATGATCAGAAAAAAACACTAATAGCAATTCAGATTAATTCATATATTATGTTTCTAACAATTAAACAGCTCTCAAGGAAATGGTTCTTTGTTCTGAGCACAAGTTTTTACATATACGTTTCCATTGTTTTTAATTAGATTTAACTATTTGTATGGTAATATAGTTTTTACAAACATTTTTTATGAAGGTTTTGAAATAGCATTTAATTCTGCGCTCGTAAGGCTAAGTTAATTCCGTCAAACGAGTTCTTTAAAGAAAAGAATGTTTAACAACTATATATACTAAGAATAAGATTCGATTACCTACAGTTTGGTGTAAGCTTAATGCAAATGAATATTAATAAAATTTAGATGGTATTATTTAAAAGCTGACCTTGTTTATTTGTAGTGTGTTTTTATGCTATCACAATACATTTTAAAAGCGGTTGTGTGTACGTCTGTTACTTTCCACGCCAAAACGTATTAAGGGATTATCATGATATTTGGAACACTCACTATAACTTGGATTACATATACTTAGAGTACTGTTAGTATTAAAATTTGCCAAATGATGACACTGCCAGTAGGTATTTAATATCGTTACATAGTATAAAATGAAGTCGCTTCCGCTGTCTGTTCGCTTAGATCTTTTAAACTACTCAACGGATCTTAATGCAGTTTTCAGTAGATCAGAAAAGCCGAGAAATTCATAGATATGTATTTCATACTAACCGTATCACTAGTTAAAACGTATCACTAGTTTTCTAATATACTGAGAATACAGTATCAATGTGAATATCTTTACAACGTGCAATACACAGAAGCATGGACGTTTACAATTAAATATGACTATAAAAACCTATGCAACAATAGATAATAATATTTCTGACCCCGCTCTTACCTAACGTCACCGCGACGAAGACGCGCTTCTGATCGTCTTTTAAACGATATTGCGTTATAACGCTAATAACTCGTTGCGATTATTTATCAGGCCAAGGTCTAATTGTGACAGGCTTTCTAGCATATGTTGCTAGGACTCTGGCGGTCAAACGTTGACTTAGTTAATTTAAATTCATCTCACCTTTCGACCTTTTTCCGTTGAGAAACGTTTTTGTATAGCCATTGTATATCTACAAATCGCCTAATACTCTATTCTATTTGGATAAAACCGCTAGTGATGATATTGAAACGCTGTTTAACAGTTCGCTGGCTACAACCTTGTCTTCCTTTACATCAGCGGTTTCCAGTCCGATATAGATCGAGATTAATGAACCGAAAATATGGCGAACCTCAATTCAGTACGATTTCACTTAGATCATACAGTATCGTGTTAGAAAATGATAAATCTCACGAAACAAACATTTTGTTGTTTTGGTTAATATCTACGTGAAACACGCTATTGTGCGGATGATAGCGTTTTATTTATTTTACATATTGATGTATTAAATCAACCATTATAGCTTTTACTTTTATTGTAATAAAATTTCGGTGGTCAATAGACTTATAGAAGAATAGATACGTTTTGAAATATATTTGTCTTTGACCATAAACTGTATATTAACTTCCGTTAACCCGTAATACCAAGAACAATTTACTTCGCAAATAAAAGAGCGAAAGCCAAATTGTATACATAATTAAAGTTTCAAATATTATTAGTTGTTCATTCGAAATGATAGGATTTTATTAACAACTAGGTAATGGTAGGTTTCATACAAATTTTCATCCGCTATTTTACCCCCTTATGGGATGAATTTCGAATGCTAAAACACGTATTTATTTAAATTTATTGAAGAGCATTAATACCAAGTTTCAAGTAATTCTGATCATAAATATTTTTTTGAATTGTATTTTAACGTGTTTTCCCGTGGGAGTTAGATAATCTCCCGCGGTAAAAAGTAGCCATGTCACTCTCCAGCCCTCCAACTATCTCCACACAAAACATCAATCCGCCAAGCCGTTTCGACGTGAAAGAAGGACATACATACAAACAAACAAACAAACAAACAAACAAACAAACAAACACACTTTCACATTTATAATATTAAAAGTATAGAAGTATAGAAGTATGGATTAGCGACCTACGTACTTACTTACTTTGCGTCATTTGGTACGCTTTCAATGTTTTTAAAAAGTTGGAATAGACGACTCGATAGAACCAGTTATTGTGTTTTCCTGTGGGAATGAAAGATTTTCCTGGTAACCTATATGTAAGGTATCCTAAATGCTTACACGAATAATAAGGTATCACTACACAAAGTTCAGTTGAAATCGATTCAGTACTTTTTGCGAGTATCGCGCACACGCAAACAGACATAGAGACAAAAAATTTAATAACTATTATTTTAGGGTCTACATTCTGTACATAATATGTTGCAGTCATTGTTTTTTTTAAAGTGTGTGTGTCAACTCCAAAAATATTTTATGTACAGATTTCGCTAAGCTACTGTGTTATTATTTATATATAGATGTTATTTTATATTGTGTAATTTTGTGGGTAGATGCTGTCTGTAACAACTATATAATGACCTTTGAGATGTTTAAAACCTAAGTCTCTCCCATGACTATGATTGCTATAAAGCAATCGAAACATCGGGAACCAAAAATCTGTATAAATCCGCGAAAAACTCCGAAAAGATAGTTTTATTTAAAATTTTGTATTTATTTTCCAGTGCTTAAAAGATAGTTTTATTTAAAACGTTGTATTTATTTTCCAGTGCTGGAATGATGGGCGAGGGGCTGCTGACGCTCACGTACGGCAAGCACCACGCCTGCATCCTGAACGAGGTGGGCGCGGCGTGGCGTGGCGCCCGCTACTCCGACCTGGTGTTGGTGTGCGATGACGCTGTGCCTCTAGCTGCGCACCGCATCGTCATGGCCGCTGCTAGCCCTTTAATAAGGTAAAATTTTTATACATATAATATTTTAATACAAGTACATATATATTAAGTATAGTATATCGTTAAGTGGAAAGAATAGGACTAAAAAAAATAGAGTTACACTTAATATGGTCTGCCAAAAGGGCCCATGATATTAAAGTTACCACATAACCCTAACAACCTGATACTGAGGAAGAATAAGAAGAATATTAAAATAAAAAATATTTATATTAGTATTTTTAACATATACTTTGATAATATGTGTTAGATAATATATTTTTCTTTTGTTTTCAGGAAAATTCTCGATGACACACCGTCTATTGAGAACCCAGTAACAATCCATATGTCAGGCATCAACAGCACACTTATGAGACATTTACTTGTATTCCTCTACAGTGGCCAAGCATATATTGAGGTAAGCTTAAAATAATCTTTTTGCATTTCTTATTACGTAATTTTGTATCAAAAGTAAAGTTTTCATCAAGCTCGATTCTATAATTGCACTTTTTATTTTATTTTAGTCTGGTGAAATCGATGACATGCAAGAGCTATTCGAATTGCTAGAAATTAAATCAGATGTTTGGAAATCAACAAAAGAAAGACAACAGGCAGAAGAAAGGAACAGATCATGCGACCGATTAAAAGGCAAGAATTTCAAAACTGATATAAACAGCAATGAAAGCAGTAAACATGATGCACCATCAGGATCCTCACATTCAGAAAGCGAAAGAGTAACGCCAAGTGCAGGCTATAGTAAAGACAAGGAACGAGGAGAATCTGAATCTATGAATATAAAGAAAGAAAATATGTCAACAAGTAGTAATGATGAAAGAGAAGATGATGATCCTGATAATGAAAAGAGAGACAAGGATTGTGGAAGAGTTTCTTCACGTCGGCGGAGTTCTTCTAATCCTGTTAATCTATCGTTAGCCAGAAATTCTGAAAACACAAGCAGCGAACATGAAGATTCACAAGATTTAGATGTTGAAACGGTCGCGGCAAAGGTAATAATTTTTGTAAAAAAAATTATTATATTTGTAATTGATAATTTAGATATTTTATATCTATTAACGCTTAAATAAATAAGATTAATAGTGTTTTTTTATTATTTTCCAGAATATTGGGAGAAGACGGTCAACATCTTCAAGTCAAGACGATCAACCGGTAGAAACTGTTTATAGACGGCAATTATTAAGTGATCGGTTAGGCAGAGGTATTGAAAGAGCTAAAAGAAAATCCCATTATTTAGAACCACCTGAATTAGATTTGAGAACCGTTAAATTGGAAGACTACCAACACCTTAAGACAACTGATAACGAATTTATGGCACTTGTTCAACCTTCACCAGAAAATTATGTCGTAACACCACATAGAAAAAGACGACCCGGCTTTCATAATTCACCCTCACAGAATCCACCGTTTGTATCATTTCCTCCAAGCTATTTAGAAGAAATGGCTCATTTACGATACGCACAAGCACCTGCAGTAGCAGCAGGAGTGGCTAGACTGGGGGCATTACATCAGATTAGCGCCTCAGCCCCTCCATATATACCGGAACGAAGTGCCACTCCGCCTGCTGCAGCACATGATGATGCTCTAAAATATCGACCTCCTAGTGCTGGATCCTGGGGTCCTTGGCTTTGTCAGCCGCAGATGGGTGGAGATGAAGCACCATCTACAGAACATGAACAAGGCTCTAGTAAACAAGCACCAGTCCGAGAATACCGATGTGAATATTGTGGCAAACAATTTGGTATGTCATGGAATCTCAAGACTCATCTGCGAGTTCATACAGGTGAAAAACCATTTGCTTGTCGGCTTTGCGTTGCTATGTTCAAACAAAAAGCTCACTTGCTTAAACATCTATGCTCTGTGCATCGGAACGTGATATCGTCTAGCGAAAACGATGGAAGAACAAATACCCCAGGACGTTTCAATTGTTGTTTCTGTCAGTTAACATTCGAAGCTCTACCAGAGCTAATTAGACATCTTTCTGGACCCCACAACAGCCTGCTTTTAAGCAAAAATCTACACGAATGACATCTGCCTACGTGACGCGGATAAATGCGTTCTATTGGACTTTGAAACTTCTCTCTATCAGGGAGCTCAATTGTGATATGTGTTTAAAATGGATATAATTTGTTAAGTGCTTAGTTTTTAAGTTCATTATCGCAGAGCGATACTCATAGTGAGGCATTCGCAGGAAGAGGAAACTGCGAGTGTGATGTAATTTTTTTTTTAATTTAAAATCATGTTTGCCGAATGGGTCCAAATTATTATAATTTGTTTAAAAATTATAATCCGGGACCAATACCTTCCGAGATAGTATTTATTTGAAAGATGTATTTTCATTAGCATAAATATTATTTAAAAGCCACCGACACATTAATTCCTTAAGCATAGAAAATAGATACGATTGTCGAAGAAAAGTTGCGAATATAATACAGCCTTTATCATAGGAACGTCACACGAACTACCTCCTAATATAAATCAGTGTTTCATGAAACTACCGGTGACGCGGTTGCAACATTCTATCTGTACATCGCAATATTGTGCAAACGTATACAGTTGATGTCTCTAGTCAGAATTGGAACTTAGAATTAAACGAATCATTGCGTTGTTCATTCACTAACGTAGTACAAATTATTATTGTATTATTCTCATCCACAAACCCTCTTATCTCAAATATACTTATAATATTTTCACTTTTGTTCCAATCATTTCTCTGACTTTGGCTTTTCGCAGCTTTTCAGACATATGAAATCTCATTATTAGTTTTTATCATTTGCGTAATTTCTAAATATAGAGAGAATGTGTTCGTAATATTAAATTTGACTATGTCTTCACTTGTTCGTGCCGATTTTTTTCATTGTGGATGAACACCAAAGATTTGTAAAGAATTGATGTTGTTTTGGTGTATACAATTAAGAGAAATTATAGGGACCTGAAATGATTTCGATGTGTTAAACTTAACGTTACGTATTTAGGTACCAATTTAATAATCTCACGACTGTAATTAATAAACTTTCTAAAAAATAATTGTATATCTTCTATGTACTTCCATAATTCCACTACGAGCTGTTATACAAGCTTAATCGCAATTTTTTATTTTTACTACCTATCTTAGTATTAGTTATAACTATGACTCGGCATTATGTTCAAATTAAAATATTATATCGCCTTGTGTTTACTTTTTTTACTTTACTATAGACTTTGTTTAAAATCTTTAAAGATTTCTAAAGCACATTAGTATCGTGGCCAGTTATTTATAAACTGATATCTTAGTTAAACTGTGTGGTTGATGTTTTTTTTTTAATTCTTGTATGTTCTGTAATTCTTTTTTCTTGCAATGCTATTATCAAAAACCAATTTGATTCGTCGCTTTAATTTTAAGCCAAAACATTGAATTCTATAAAATTCACTGTAAATAACTATCTATGGTTTGATATAAATTCGAATTTTAATTGAGTAAAAATAATAATTAGAAATGTATACTGTGTACCTAAAATTAAATTGTTAATACTCATTTTTTTAAATGAATATGGTACGATGTAATAAATTGTCCTTTGCAATTTAGTTTTCAGGTAATAATTTTTTGTAATAACTTATGAGACTTTCACAACTAAAGTTACCAGAAAATTGTTCAAAACTTAGTATAATTGACAAAGTTGTCGAATCGCTTTAATAATTTTCTTTTGTTACCTATCGTTATACCTGATGTTTTATTTTACGTGTTTTGTTTTTATTAACGTAATTTTTTATTGGGGAACAAATTAATCTTAAGCATTGTGATTTGATTCGTTAGTTGTATGTGATATATGTTTTTTATTGTAAGGCGCAGGAAATATGGTGTCTTCCATAGCGTTTGCATATTTTCGATGTTTTTATTTGTAAATAGTTAGGAATAAATGCCGCATGACAAAATCGTCCATAAAACCAATCGCTGCCGCTAATACGTAAAACGTTTACTCGAACAAATAAATTAATTATCTATATTTTTTACTGTCTTTACAATACTTCCGTAGCACGTAAGATTGTTGTGATATTTCGAAGGAGAATCGGAGATGCCTTAGCGTAACAATGCAATTTTACATTCTCAAGTGTTTCTACTTTCGATTTTTCAGGTTTTATTCCATTGAAATGATTTTTGTAATTATGTATTTTGTTTTTTACCGACTTCAATAATCATAGGATATATAGCGTCTGAATAATTCTAATATTACACAATCTTCCAATACAAATAGCTTTTTTCAAATGACACATAATGTATATTGTTCTACCCAATTACCTACTAAAACTATAACCACACTAAAGAATGAGAAACACTTGAACTCTAGACATTTGTAATAAAAATGTTTCTATCTAGAACATGACTTAGGATTTAATGTAAATATATAGTTTGTAAGCTAATGAGGAAAAACATAACTTAATCTTGTTGAACTTGAATAAATCGTCTCCGTAAATTTTGTAAATTATAAAATATTTCATAAGGTTTCACATAGTGTACAATTTTTTTGTAGATATTGTTTAGAATATTAACATTCTGTAAATGTGTTCTTACCCTAGTAAATTAAATAACGAGAGTATTTTAGTTACATATGCCGCTGTTTGTTTTTTACCCTACCCTCAACAATGAGTTCATTAATTAAATCTAACAAATTATTTAAAAAGCCTAAAGAGTTATTATTGAGATATATGTAGATATGTCAACATATATATTTATTACATAACATGAAATAAAATAAAGCTACAATAAAAAATAACCTTAGGGCAGTTTTGAATAACTTTAAAATCTTATTGGAACGTATTTTTTTATTAATCCTTTAGTCAGGAGTATTTCAAATCATTTTAAAAATATAGGTTTCTGTATTTTTTATATGAGATTATGCTATATATAAATCTGAATCTTTACTATGTACTCAAAAAATATCTAAACGGCCTATATAACTATTAAATATCTATCCTCTCTGTATACAATAATAAAGCATGAATGAAAAATATATATGATAATATTTATCATTTTTAACCCCCAACGCAAACAGTCCCCTCTGTTCGGGGGTCAAATATGATAAATTTAATCACTAAATAAACAAAATTAGAGAATATGAACGTAGCGAATAGACGGGTCAATACGTCTATAAATGTATAGGGTAAAGAATACTTTAATTGCTTAGTGTGCATTTTAATGGGAATATTTTTTGTAATTTTTAAGGGGTTATTTTTCTTATTGTATTTTAAAGTGTGTTATTTTTGCGTTAGATTCTTTAAATTTTTAATTTAATAGTTATTAATGTTTATAGAAATAGACAATACACATTTGAATTACGACCGTGGTTTTATTAGTTTTGTCTGATCATTGGTCATTGGTCGGCGAGCACTAAAATAATTTACACTAATAAATAACAAGTTGGGTGAGTTTGGTTTCATAACTCAAACCTGAAAATTTCTAATAAACAATCGTATGATGCATTCAATACCTGCAATGTTCATAGACTGTAAGGCGATTTTGGTAAGTCTTTAAATGTCGCAATTTTATTGTATTTTAACCGATTTCAAAGAGAAGGAGGCATCATTAAATATATTAATTCGAGTGACCGTTTTATTGGTTTGTAAGCAATATCTTCGCAAATTGTTGTCTTACATTCGTGATTATTTATTGTATAAAGCATAGTCACATATTTTCGGAGGTAAGCATGAGTAGTCTACGAGAAAAGCCCCTTTATTTAATCGAAATAACATATTCCTTTGCAAATATGTATTGTTAAAAAAATCTGAATTCAGATAAGAAATTTCGAAGAATACCAATTACATTTAAATTGTAAACCAACCAACTTTACCGCTTTATAATTATACTAGCGGACCCGACATACGTTGTCCTGTCTACACGTCTTTAATTTGAAAATTTCAAACTTTTTTTAATAATTTTTTTGATGAAAATATTATTCAAATTGTGAATCTAAACCATTCCCAGATCCCCTTGAACACACACAAAAAATTTCATCAAAATCGGTCCAGTCGTTTGAGAGAAGTTCAGTGACATACACACTCACAGAAGAATTATATATATATAAATATTATATTATATATATTCATAAAGCGGTAATGTTTATAATATAACTAGCGACTCACCCTCGCTTCGCTCGTGTTTATCCCTAGTGAAAAACAAAAAAATCTATCCCACAAGAACTGTATATTTTTCTGGGATAAAAAGTAACTTTTGTGCTATTCCAGACTATAATAATCTATCCCTGTACCTACTAAATTTCATCCCGATCCGTTCAGCCGTTCTGGCGTGATTAAGTAACGAACATCCATCCATCGAAACCTTTGCATTCATATTAATACTTATTAATGGAATATAAATTAAAATAAAAGTATTTACTATGAAGTTTGATCGAACGACGGAGCATATGTTAATTTATAACACATCTTTTTATAGACAAGTCTTTGTAACTATACCCACCACGCCTCTACGATCTAACAATTAGTCTTCATACGACATGCGTTATTAATAACAGCTTTTAAAGGAATGTAATAAATACTAGAATTCAATTACATAAAACAACTAACACGAAATTAATTAACCCTTAGGTTTATTGTAGGCAAGGAATATAACATGTACATAATGTAAGTACCTATAGTAACCATGAGGTGTAGATTAATATATATGTACGTATATTTATATAGTTTTATTATATATGTTATGTTGTTATACATAACATATATAATAAAACTATATATATATATATATATATATATATATATATATGTGTGTGTGACTTGATAGGTACTATATTGTATAGGTGTTTTGTCTATATAACGGATACGTAAATAACTAGATATTTGTACGATTGTATGTATGGAACCCATAGTACGAGCGAGTCCGGCTCTCACCAGAAAGTTTTTTCTTTATATTTTACCATGATAAAGGACAATCTAGGGTCATTATGTACATTTTAATTTATGAAAAAAATAAATAAAGCACATTTATAAACTAAAAGACTGCCGGTATTTATTTTCATACGGACTAATGGTTT